GAAGGAAGGAAGGAAGGAAGGAAGGAAGGAAGGAAGGAAGGAAGGAAGGAAGGAAGCTTGAAAGATTAAAAAAAAACAACAACAACAAAAAACAGGCTTGTTTTATACACTTGTGACCCCAGCACATGGGAACCAGAACCAGAATAATCAGGATAGTAAGGCCAGACTCCACAACATGAGACTCTCTTTCAAAAAAAAAAAATCTGTTAATAATAATATGGCTTGTTGAGAGCTGCAGGCATAGCTCAGTGGTGAGCATTTGTCTATTATGTTCAACCCCCCAGCATGGCACAAACAAAAGGAGGATCAGGCTTACAAGTATTCAAAGCTGGTATGGGAGGTGAGGCATGCCTGTGACCCTCAGCACTTGGGAGGCAGGAGAAAAGCTGCAAGGTCAAAGCCAGCCAAGGCAATACGCGAAGGCATGTCCCAAAGCAGTAACAGAGATTAGCTCAGCGGTGAAGTGCTTGCCTACCAAGCATAAGACCTTGAGTTCTGTCCTCAGTTCTCGTGCAGACGAGGGGTAGACAAAATTAAAAAAAAAAAAAAAGGAAAAAAGTGGGGGGGAGGGGTGCTGGAGAGATGGCTCAGTGGTTGAGAGCACCAGCTGCTCTTCCAGAGGCCCTGGGTTCAATCCCCAGCACACACATGGCAGCTCACAACTGCCTATAACAGCTTTTAAGGGATCTGACACCTCACACAGACATACATGCAGGCAAAACTCCAACGCACATGAAATAAAAATAAATACATTATTTTTTAAAAAAGAGAACAACAATAGCTACAAAAAAAGAAAAAATGTAGCATAGAGACTGGAGAGACGGCTTAGTGTTGAGGAGACCTGGCTTTGATTCCAGTGGATCTGAGTTTGGTTCTCAGCACCCACATGGTGGTCTACAACTACACAACCATTCATAACTCTCTTCCCAGGGGATCTAACACCCTGATCTCACACCCACTGGCACCAGGCATGCATGTGGTACACAGACATACACACAGGCAAAAACACCTCTACATATGAAATAGATCACTTTTAAAATGTGGCCGGGCCAAGGTGCTACTCAAACTTCATACCAAGGTACCCTAGAGATAGCCATGACAGTTTGTTTAATAAGCACAGAAGTGCTTTTCATGTGTACTAATGTGCCATTCTGACACAGACCATTTCGAAGCTGCATGAAGAGACTAGAGAGGAGGCTTGGTGGTTAAAAGCGCTTGATGAACTTCCAGAGGGCCCAGCTTCAATTCCTAGCACCCACAGGGCAGCTCATAACCACCTGTTCACACCAGTTCCAGGGCATCTGATGCCCTCACATAAACACGCATGCAGGCAAAACACAATGCACATCAAACAAAAAGAAATACAGCCCACACCTGTCATCCCAACACTTGGGAGGCAGAAGCAGGTGGTTCTCTTAAGAATTCAAGGCCAGCCTCGTCTGCAAAGTGAGTTCCAGGATAGCTAGGGCTACACAAAAACTCTGTCTCAAAAAACCAAACAGACAGAGTAGATAGGTAGGTAGAAAGACAGACAGACCATTAAGAAAAAGATCTCAGCATGGAGTGGGGAGAGGCACATAGTCCTACTCCTTGCTGATGAGCTATTGGCAAACTGATGGCTGCTGAGAAATGGAGAGTCAGTTTTTCTCTTTGCATGTGGCCCCTGGTAGGTTGACACTTCAGGGTAGTTCCCTCATGAAAGAGTATTTGCGCAGCAACCAAATTCATGGGGTTTAAAAAGCAAAAGGTGATACAAAGTTGGGTGGGTCGGGAAGGAAGGTAGATCTGGAAGGAGGAATTGAGAGGGATGAACATGCTCAATATACATTGTATGGCACTGGAGAGATGGTTCACTGGCTAAGCACACAGACAGTTCTTATAGAGGACTAGGGTTCAATTCCCAGCCCCAATAGTGTTGAGTCGCAGCTATCTGTAACTCCAGCACCTGGAAGGTCAGGCACAAGACAAGCATGTGGTATGCAGGCAAAAATACCCATACATATGGGGTGTGGCGGCCTGTAATCCCAGCACTCAGGGAGGCAGAGGGAGGCGGATCTCTGTGAGTTCGAGGCCAGCCTGGTCTACAGACCAAGTTCCGGACAGCCCGGGATACACAGAGAAACCCGGTCTTGAAAAAACCAAAACCAAACTAAACCAAATCCAAACCCATACACTTGTTTTTTTTATTATTATTATTATTTTAAAAAGTTTTACATTGTAAAATTCTCAAAGAATTGATTAAAAAAATTTTTTTTAAGCATCACTGAACTTTGTAGGGTATCCACACTGGAGAAATGCAGCACACAGCGGTGCCAGACTGCCATGGTCTAAGACTTCTTCCCTGTCCCCAAGGCCCACTGAAATGACAGCAGAAGAACACGTACCCACTGCACCTGTGCTGCGTCCTTCATCGCCTCCGTGAAAGCCACGGCAAACCTAGTCAATGGATAGAGATAACAGTCAATTAGGCTGGAATTCAATTAAGGCAACTGTGAAGCGGCACTTCCCAACAGCCCATGAGAGGCGTAGAGGACGCGGCTCTAAGTGCCAGCCATTGTCATTACTCCTGGTCACTGCCCATTAGGCCCACCTCCACCCACACCAGAACAGAAAAAGTTGTGTGGAACTTCGCGGGAAATAAACCCAATGATGCTCAAAGCCTCTTATTTCTCTTGTTCCTTTCAAATAAGGCTGGGGAAGCAGAGATTAAAAATCAAAGGCTGGGGCTGGCCAGGTGGCTCAGTCGTTAAGAACATTTACTGTTCTTCCAGAGGACCCAGAGTCAGTTCCCAGCACCCATTCAGTTCCCAGCTCACACATACCTAGTCTGGGGATCTGACACCCTCTTTGACACTTATATGCACATGCACACTAACATACTTTTACTTTTTTTAGGTTTGTTTGTTTGCTTGCTTGCTTGGGGGGTTGTTGTTACTGTTGTTTGTTTTTTGTTTCGAGACAGGGTTTTTCTGTGTAGCCTTGGCTGTCCTGAAACTCACTCTGTAGCCCAGGAAGGCCTCTGCCTCCCAAGTGCTGGGATTAAAGGTGTGCACTGCGGCCACCTGGCTACATTTACATTTTTAAAAAATAAAAAGCTGGGGCTGGAGGGATGGCTCAGTGATTAAGAACACTGTCTGCTTTTTCAGAGGTCCTGAGTTCAATTCCCAGCAACCACATGATGGCTCACAGCCATATACACAGCGATCTGATGCCCTCTTCTGGCATGTGGGTCTATCATGCAGGTATCTGGATAGAGCACTCATATATATTAATAAAGATGGCTCAGCAGGAAGAGGCTTGATCCCCTGGAATCATGGAAGCAGAGAACCAGCTCCACAAGTCGCTCTCTGACCTCTACATGAGAGCTGTTTCATGCTCACACATCCCCACTAAATGAATGAACGTATTTAAAGAAGATTGTGCTTGTCGTGAACAATCGTAACAGGTACATTTTAACAGAATGGGATACAACATTTCTTGCACAGGAACTGTATAAAGATATTCCTTTTGGTGGGGGGAGGCTAGAGAGATGGCTCAGAGAGATTAAGAGCAGTAGCTAGCTGCTTTTCCAAAGGTCCTGAGTTCATTTCCTAGTAACCACATGAGGGCTCACAACCATCTATGAGATCTGGTGCCCTCTTCTGGCCTGCATGTGTACATGCAAGTAAAACACTACATATAATAAACAAATAAATCTTTTTAAAAGAATATTCCTTTTTTTTAAACCAAATCAGTTAAATTATCATGGCACCTGACAGTAGCTTTATGGATTACCCACACATGTAATTTTGGAGCAATCACACAAAATCTTTTGAGAAAGATTTCAGAGTCAGGAAAGTGAGAAAGTGGGGCTGGAGGAATGGCTCAGTGGTTAAGAGCTCTGGCTGCTCTTCTAAAGGTCCTGCGTTCAATTCCCAGCAACTACGTGGTGGCTCACAACCATATACATTGAGATCTGGTGACCTCTTCTGGCCTGCAGGCAGAACACTGCACACATATATATTAATTAATTAATTAATTAATTAATTAATTAATTAATTAAATCTTTAGAAAAGAAGGGGAGGGGGAGAAAGTGAGCTGAGTACCAGCATCCATTGTTGTCTGCTTTCGGACTTGGGGAGACCACAGAACCAGCTGCATCATCTCCTGCCACCATGCCTTCCTCACAATGATGGACTAGGGTGGACTGTACCCTCAAACCATGAGCCAAAATAAATCTCTCCTTTTTCCGTGTAGCCCTGACCGGCCTGAAACTCACTATGTAGAACAGGCTAGCACTGAACTTAGAGATCCTCCTGCCTTTGCCTCCAGGGTGCTGGGATGATGGTATGCACCACCACACCTGGGTCCTTCCTCCCTTAGCTGCCTTTGTCAAGTGTTCTGTCACAGCAGTGAAAAGGGAACTGATACTGTCCTGGATCATTCCGTGTCAACTTGACATGAGCTAGAGTCATCACAGAAGAAGGAGGCTAAAATGATGCCTCGTAAAATCCAGCTGTATGGAGTCCTGTCAGACAGGACTCAGGAGGCTCAGCCCATTTTGGGTGGTACCCTCCTGGGCTGGTGGTCCTGGGGGAGCAAGCCATGGGGAGCAAACCAATAAGTAGCACCCCTCCATGGCCTTTGCATCAGCTCCTGCCTCAAACTCCTGCCCCTGTGTGAGTTCCTGTCCTGACTTGCTTTGCTGATGAACTATGATATGGAATTATACTCTGAAAACCATTTCCTCCACAACCTGCTTCCAGCCATGGTGTTTCCTGACTCACAGCCATCGTAATCCTGACTAAGACAGAAGTCAAATATGCATGCATAGTCACTGAGTAACAACCATTCAAGATAAAGAGTGCAGAGCTGAGACACGCATCACACATGGATACACATCCAAAGCACAGAGATTAAAACTATACTGGCAATGAGGAAAAGAATGAGAGATCAAAAAGGAAGGAAAGGCTGGGGTCAGACTCAAACACTCCAATGAACTTACCACAGCACGAGGTCAGAGGAGCGGTTAAATATGTAGAAAAGGTCCACACCTTCCTACACAGAATGTGGTAATGATAAGAACCTAAGAGGACTGGGGACTAGGCTGGAGAGATGCTGCCTGCTCCTCCAGAGGACCTGGGTTCAGTTCTTAGCACCCACGTGATAGCTCAAAACCACCTAGAACCCCAGTTCCATTTCATCTGATGCCCAATTCTTGCCTCCAAGAGCACCTCTCACACATGGTGCCAGGAACATATGCACCATACACACCCATACACAGGAAATAAAAATAAAGGAAAAACATTTTTTAAATATACAGTAATAAGCGATAAGCATTGTTTTTCAAATATGTACCCAGAAAAAAAAAATGATCCAAATTTTCAGACAGAAACTTCATTTACTTTTGATATTTATAATATAATTACTAAGGACTTATTATGTCATGATTCTTAGAAGCTAAAAAAAACCTAACCCAAAATTAAGATTTAAAACTATACTACATGGGAGGAAATTTTAAAATATTGAAAAAAATTACACAGGAAAAAATATAAAGAAAATACACAAATGTGTATTTTTAATAAATGTGTTTTATTAAAAGCAAAATGATCACTATAAAGCCAGACAAGACCAATAATCTCATTTGTAGAAACATGAGCTGTGTGGTGTCAGACAAGACATCCATGATTCATGCATCTCTCTTGCCCACTGGCCTCATCGGTACCCCCGAATTAAAAAAAAAAAAGTCAGTATTTGTTTTAATAACAACACAATAAATAACCCTAATGATAATACTACAACCTGGATTTGTTCAATAATGTTTTCAGTAAACAGAATTACTTTTCTTCCTCAAGACTGTGCAGCATCAAGTATGTGAATAGAAAGGTAATGTTTTTAGAGTGTGAAAACAGTAATAAGGGATCTGTACTAATATGGGTCATCTTTATTTTTTAAGGTAGGTGTGTGTGTGTGTGTGTGTGTGTGTGTGTGTTTACACCATGTGAGTGCCTATGATGCCTATGGAGGCCAGAAGATGGTGCTTATTCCCAGGAGCCACCTGGATGGTAGTACAGGAGAGAGAACTCTGGTACTCTGCAAAAGCAGCAAGTGCTTTTTGTTGCATTGTTTTTTGTTTTGTTGTTGTTGTTGTTTTGCTTTGGTTTGGTTTTGGTTTTTCAAGATTTATTTTGATTTTCTGTGGATGAGTGTTTTTCCTGTGTGTATATATGTGCACCACATTCACACAGTGTTCATGCAGGACACAGCTAATGTCTGGGCCAGGGGTTCCCACACTATCCCCACAGAACTAATGGATGTGTCGTTTCAGAAAGGCACCACTTGTAGCCACTGGAGCCATGCTCTTGGAGGCGCACTGGTCCTGGATGGCTGGGAGTAATGTGTAAATAAATGAGGACTAAGCCAGGGCACAGAACCCCACTGTCTCTCAAATGGTTTACAAAACCCACAAGGCTAAACAGACAGGAGCCATACTGAATAGTGAGCCATACTAGAACTGAGCCATACTAGAATTGTTACAAGGATGACCTTTGAGCTGGGAAACCTAGCTTGAGCCTGCTTTGCTACTCAGTCCTGCACTGTGACACACTTCTATAGTCCTATAGTCCAGTGGAGGCAGGAGCAGAGTTCAAGATCATCCTCAGCTACCCACAGAGGTCGAGGCTAGCCTAGTCTACTAAAGAGCCTATTTCGGCACTTGTGCGCACACACACACAAACGCACAAAACAAAAGCCCACACTAGCTCTGTCTTCCTACCTGGAATGCTCCTGTGATATTAACAGTAGGCCAGGTGCATTGTAACATTGTTGGTTACAATGAGAATTTGTAGCAAAATTTAGACAATACTAAGGGCCAGTTGCATTTTGTGGGGTTGTTGTTGTTATTGTTGTTTTGAGACAGGGTCTCTCTCTGTAGCCCTGGCTATCCAGGAACTTGCTATGTAGATCAGGCTGGCCTTAATCCTCAGATATCCACCTACCTCTGCCTCCCAAGTTTTGGAATTAAAAGCATGCACCACCATGCCTGGCAAAGGACCTTTTTATTGATGGTGTGAATTTGATTTCCCTGGTACGATGAAAGCCCTCCCAAAGGAGAGCGCCCATGGCCTTACCTGGCTTCCTCCAGAACTTTCCCCATGACTTTATTTTTTTCTTTGTCACTGGCATCTTCATTTAAATCAGTTCCACCAAAGATGACCCCGAAAGGAATGCCATGACCTGCAAAATGATGACATGTGGAATAGCAGGACAACAGGAAGCATCCCTTGACAACCAGCCCTCGGTCACGAAGCAAAAGCAGAAGTTCCCATTGCGCAGGGCTGTGTGGTTTTTCTTCTGTCTGTTTTGAAGGAGAGCTCTGTAGCTCAGGTTGGCCTCAGCATTCCCAGGGATTCTCCTGCCTCAGCATTTACAGGGATGTAATTACAGGTGTGCACCCCCTCCCCTGCTTCCAGATGTGGGATGGGAGAGAGGAAGAAAGGTGTGTGAGAGAGGGGAATGAAGTGTGTGAGAGAGAGGGAGAGGTGCTTGTGAAAGAGATGGGGGGAGAGAGGTGTGTGTGTATGAGAGAGAGAGGTGGGGAAGGCATGCGTTTGCCACACTGCTGGTGTGGAGGTCTGAGGACAGCTTTGCAGAGTCACTTCTCTTTCCACTTGTGAGTGTTCTGGGAATTGAGTGGTCAGGCTTGTTGAGAAATTGCCTTCATCCTGTGGGTCATTTCACTGGCCCAATGTTTTTAAGGCAGGATGGCCTTGAACTTGTTATTACCCTGAGGGTGACCTTGAACTCTTGATCCTCAGGCATCCACCCAGGATGGCCCAGTGGGCTGAGATTTACCACAAACACTGCCACACCCAGCTTACATGGCAACTGTTGTGCATGCCAAACAAGCACTCTGCCAGCTGAGTTACCCCAGAGAGTAGGTGTGATGTGTTTTGGTGTCAGTTTCATTCCCTTCAGCTCTCCAGAGGGAGAGCAGGTGTCACTATTAGAAACCTGCACTGAGGGCCAGCCAGATGGCTTAGCAGATAAAGGCAATTGCCACCAAGCCTGATAATCTGACCCACATGGTGGAAGGAGAGAATCAGTTCCTTGGAAGTTGTCCTGTAATTTCCACAAAGATCTCTCCCCACCATTATCATGGCTACCACCATCATCATCCCCACCTCCATCTTCATCACCACTCTACACACATAAATAAACTTCTGTACCAAGATAAACCCACACTGAGATTAATTATGCCAAGTTTCACCTGTGGCCGTCAAGACCATTTTTCAAATTAATTTGCTTTCAGTTTCCTTCACCACCATCGATTGGAGCCAAACTCCCCGATACTGTGAGGTGATCAAAGAGCTTGAATGAAGCTGCGGAGGCTGATGACAGGACATGGTCCTGTTTGTCACCTTTAACCTGCGGCTCAGAGCACTCAGTCTTCAGGAGTGGGCAGCATGATGTAGCCCAAGCTACACACCTGGGGTCATCAGGTGTGGTGGTTTGAGTAGGTTTGGCTCCCCCAGACTCATGTGTTTGAATGCTAGGCCCTGTTGGAGCAAGTGTGTCACTTGGGGGGGGGGGGGGGCTTTGAGGTCTTAGATGTTCAAGCTATGCCCAGCGTGGCACACAGTCTCCTCCTGGCTGCCAAGAATTAGAACTCCAGCACCATGTCTGCCTGCATGCTGCCAGGCTTCCCACCATGATGGTAAGCCAGGCCCAATTAAATGTTTTCCTTCATAAGAGTTGCCATGGTTATGGTGTTTCCTCACAGCAATAAAACCTTAACTAAGACAGAGACAAAACATGGAAATAAGATGTTATCATTCAGGGCTAGAGAGATGGGTTAGTAGTTAAGAGCATCAGTGGTTCTCCCAGAGGAAACAGGTTCGATTCCCAGCACCCCTGACAGCTCACAGCTGTATGTAACTCCATTTCCAGGAGATCTAACACCTTCATACAGACTCTGTGGGCACCTGGAATACAGGTGGTGAATGTCTGCACGCATGACTACAAAACATCCTCACATGTGAAATTTTTTAATTAAATTTTTTTCATCACGTATAACTGATTGCTATGGGAGACCTGGCATAGATATGGTAGATGTTTTTACTTCATTTCAGGTAAGAAAACTGAAGCTGGGTGGCCTGGCTCACACTTGTGAGCCAAGGCAGAAGTATTTTCAGGAGCTCAAGGCCAGCCTCAGCTACATAGTGAGTTCTAGGTCTGCTTGGGCTATGAAATGTAAGACCCTATCTTAAAAGCCTGAGTGTGATGATGCCTCCTGTAACCCCAGCATTTGGGAGGACAGGAAAGAGGACAAAAAAGTCAAGGTCACAAGTTTAAAGCCAACCTGGGCTACATGAGACCCTGTCTTAAAAATGCAGGACAAGTCAGACAGAGGTGGTACACACCTTTAATCCCAGCACATGGGAGGCAGAGGCATTTGGATCACTGAGTTCAAGGCCAACCTGGTCTATAAGCAAGTTCCAAGACAGCCAGGGATACATAGAGAAACTCTGTCTGGGGGTAGGGAGGACACATAACAAACATGACAGACAACTATAGGCCAGTGAGATGGCTCATTAGGTAGATGCTTGCCACTGTGAATTAAGCCCTGTTCCTCTGGAAGAGCAGTCAGTACTCTTAACCCCTGAGCCATCCAGCCCCCTAGGGCATGTTCTTAAGACTTCATTAAAGCACTGCAGCCTGCACCAAATTAGTGCAAATTGTATGTTTTATAGGCTAGTTAAATCGTATGAGAGAGTACCCACAATGCATCCTGCACAGTGCCCCGGCTATATTCCGTCTTAGGTAAGGACGACTATAAAGTTCTGTCATTAAACAGTTGAAAAAAATGATTGATGTACACAAGAAGAAAAAAATATTTTTTTTAAAAGGAAAAACACATCGAAAAAAATCTTTTATACACCTCCCCAGGAGGGAGGAACAAATTCCTTGAGTTAGTTCAGTGTTCATATGGTATGAATCATAAAGAAAAGCAGGAACTAAACCAGTCATTTTTTAAAGATTTATTTATTTATGTGTTTTATGTATAAAAATGCTTTGTCTGAATTATGTCTGTATATCAGAAAAGGGCGTCTGACCCCATGAAGACTACAGGTATAGATGGTTGTGAGTTGGGAACTGAACTCAGGACTTTGAGAAGAGTAGCCAGTACTGCAGACTGCTGAGCTATCTGTCCAGCCTTGAACCAGTGATTGACATCTCTGCACCGTAGCCCGGGCATATCTGTACTGAGACTGCCAATGTGCACACCCTTTTAATCTGCATGTTCTATTGAGAAATTTTATTTGCCTGGTCACTTCCTTGGCAAACATTTGCCTTTAAAAAGGGCTGGTGAGCTGGCTCTGTAAGACCTGGGGTCTCACAGCTCAGGAGTTCAAGATCGCGCCCTTCCCAGAAACTCCCCCAGACCAAGACTCGTTGCAAAAGCAAGAGGTTTATTAACCATTGCGCAATGGGGTCACCCCTGCTGGTCAGCAAAGAGTGGCACCTGGAGACAAAGGCCTTTAGGTTTTTAAAAGAAAAATTGCGGGAGATTTGAAGTTGCAGTCTTGGCAATTTAGGATTGGATGAGGAAGCTATAAAGTAAGATAATTGGTTAGTCTTAGGTGCTCAAGCTTGACCAGTCCTGCCAAGTGTGGATGCAGCTGCAATTGAAGGTGGGGGTGGTTAGCTCATCCTTGAAGATTAGGGGCTGCGGACTTTTGGCTGCAGGTCAAAAGCTACTCAGAAGAAGTCTGGGTTCGTTGCTAAGAAATGCTATCTCAAAGACAGGAGTTTTTCTTTTTGCTAAGTGAAGGTCATTGCTTGCTTGCCTTTTTTTCTATCTGTCCTCATAGATAGGGTCACATTTTTCCATTCTCTGGAAAGGTACTAAGAGGATTTAGCTTAACCTGAACCTAAAACTCAAAACTATAGTCTTTAGAAGACATACAGGTTACAAAGTTAGTCTAACCCTTTCAGCTCAACAAGTAAAGGCATGTGCGGCTGAGCTGTCTGAGTTTGATTGCCAGGACTGACATAGTAGGAGAACCAACTCCTCCTGTTGTCCTCTGAATCTAAACGTGCAAGCATGCCTGGGAGTGCTTACAGACACACACACACATACACACACACCACAGCACAGCATAGCATAGCACATAAATGTAATTTAAAGAGTAAAAAGAGGGCTGGAGAGATGGCTCCATGGTTAAGAGCACTGGCTGCTTTTTTGCAAAGGACCCAGGTTCAATTCTAATACCCTAGTGACTCACAACCATCTGTATCTCCAGTCCCAGGAGATCTGACACTCTCTTCTGGCCTCTGGGGATATCAGGCACACATGTGGTGCACAGATATATGTATAGGCAAAACACTCATGTATATAAAATAATATAGGTGCATACCTATAATCCTAGCACTAGAGAGGTAAGGACAAGAGGATCAGGATATTCATCCTTAGCTACATCAAAAGTTTGAGACCAGCCAGGGCTACTTGAGACCCTATCTCAAAATAAGTAATAAAATGAGCAAAAACATATGCCAGGGGAATAAGCCATGCTAGACTTCTATGCACAGCGACCAGTTAGGAGATAACAAATGAAAAGTTGCTCCCAAGCCCAGTGTCCATTTGGCGTTGGTTAAATTGGGCACTGATTTTTCTTTTCCCTCCCTCTTCAGCAGGTTTGTGTCAGAGAGGACTATTTCCTCCCAAATCAGAGGCAAACAGAACTGTGACATCTCTGTTTATTTGAAGCAGAGGTCAAGAATGGTGGTGGAATTAAGCATATAAATTTAAAAACAAGAACCCAATAGGGGCTGGAGAGATGGCTCAGTGGTTAAGAGCACTACCTGCTCTTGCCATGGACCCGGGTTCAGTTCCCGGCACCCACATGGCAGCTCTCAATTGTCTGTAACCCCAATTCCAGGGAATCTGACACCTTCACACTAATGAACATAAAATAAAATTAAATAAATTACAAAAAAAAAAGAACCCAATAACTGGACGAGAGTGAAGTGATCCAGGTCCTTGCCGTCTGCTGGATGTATCATCACAAAATATGACATAGCTTTTGGCCTTCTTCCAGGCTAACCTTGGAGCTGGTATTACAGCAACTCACATCATGACTTCAAGAACATAAAATCAGCCTGGTGTGGCGGCCCACGCCTTTAATCTCAGCACTCGGAGGCAGAGGCAGGAGCATCTCTGTAAAGCCAGCTTGTGCCGCATAGTTAGCTCCAGAGAGGCGAAGGCTACATAGGGGGACCCTGTCTCACGGTGCAATGCAGGGGGTGTCTGCCTAATCCGAAACTCCAAAATGCCAGGTGATCCCAAACTGGAAAGTCTCTGGGGACTAAAATGGGGGCAAGTGAAAAATTACACTCCTACCCTCACAGAGCAGGTCACTGTCACCAGAGAGGAACATTGAACATACTTTGTGAGATCACTTCCAGGACTGAAGGTACACCTCAGCTGGCCGAGCGCTTGCTCCCTACATAGGAAACACTGCGTTCATTTCCCAGGTCCACATAAAGTTGACAGGGTAGCACAAGCCGTAATCCCAGCTCTTGGGAAGTGAAGCTAGGAGCATGAGAAAGTCAGGGGTATCCTCGACTTCATAAGCAGGTTCAAGGCTGGGCTTCATGAGACTCTGCCTCAAACAACAATCAAACCTAAATGACTTAGGACATGTGTACAAGGCAATGGGAACCACAGACGAAGTTCATGTTTTAGCCTAGCTGTCCTTCGAATATCTCACTACATACATGAAGATACGGATTTAAAAAAAAAAAAAAACTGAAATGAAGGGCTGGCAAGATAGTGTAAGCCGGTAAAAGCACTTGCCCACAAGCTTGATGACTTACAGCACATCTTAAAGTTTCAGTTCACTTAAACTGGAAAAGTAGAAAGAGAGGACCTGGTCCACAGAGTCATCTTTTGCCCTCTATATGAGTACCATGGCATGCTATTACATCTCTCTCTCTCTCTCTCTCTCTCTCACACACACACAGAAATAAAATTTATAAATAAATATAAATATAAATAAATATATATAAATAATATAAATAAATATCACAAAGCCATGTCCCCGATTGAAACCAGATAGTGGAGTAGAAAAATCAGCATTTGAATGAACAAGGGTAAACTATATACATTCCACAAGAACATTATACCAACAGTGATAGTTGATAGAAAAGAGAAAGGAAAAGTTAAAAGCTAAAGTTAATTGAAGACCAGATGACTTCAGGGACCTGGGTATGGTGATGTACACACGTGACTCTAGGACTCCGATGATGGAGACAAGAGATCAGAGTTCAAAGCTATCCTCAGCTACATAGTGGGTATGAGGCCAGCCTGAGCTAGTAGGACTAAAACAACAACAACAACAACAGAGGAGGCTAAGGAGTTGACTGAGTTGGTAAAGTGCCTGCCAAGCAAGACTGTAGATCCCCCAAACCCATGGGGGATTGTAGATCTCATGCAAAACCCCAAGCAGGCATTACATGCCTGTAACCCCAGGCAGGGGTCAGGGGGCATAGGGTGGAAATAGACAGGTCCTGAAACTCACTGATCACTCAGCCTAACCAAATCAGTTACCTGTGTTGTTCAGTTAAGAGTCTTGGTCTAACGAGGTGAGGTGTGATGGCACACACCTTTAATCCCAGCACTCCGGAGGCAGAGGCAGAGGCAGGCAGATCTGTGAGTTCAAGGCCAGCCTGGTCTACAAAGTGAGTCCAGGACAGCCAAGGCTACACAGAGAAACCCTGTCCTGAAAAAAGTCTGTCTCCAAAAAAAAAAAAAAAAAAAAAAGCAGAAGGGCTGGCAACATGGCTCGGGTAGTTAAGGCACCTGCTGCCAAGACTTATGACCTGAGTTCAATCCCTGAGACCCACATAGTGGGGAGAGAACCAACTCCTACAAGTTGCCCACTGGCCTCCTCCACCATCACAAAGGATGAATGAACTAATGCACGAAATTAATAAAATAACGTAGAGAAGCAATTGAGAAAAGATAACCAACCTCAGATCTACATACAGACCCAAACATGTGCCTGCATGCACACTACACACACACAAAGAAAAAAAGGACAGGTGAGGTAGATGTGTACACGTGTGCTGTAGAAAAAAATTTATCGTGTAACAATCAAAATGAAGACTAGGGATGTGCACGCCCTCAATTATTAAGCCACCTGCAGCTGGAGACGTGCATAACTATGTGTATGAGGGTAAGCCAGGTCCAAACTACCTGTGACGACTCATTTTAACCGTCAACTTGACACAGCCTAGAATCACCGGGGAAGAGTCTCAGTGAGGGTTTGGGTTTGTCTAGGTGGTGTTGGCCTGTGGGCATATCTGCGTGGAGATTGTCTTAGTTCAATTGATGTGGGCAGACTAAGTCTACCGTAGGTGTTACCATTCCCTAGCCAGGGGATCTCGGACTGTATAAATATAGAAAGGGCATTTGTAGGAACTGTGTGTGCGCTCATTTCTCTTAACTTCCGACGTGATGTGACTGGCTTACCGTACCCTGGAACTGTAGGCCAAAACCAGAAAACCCTTTCTCTCTTAAAGTTGCATTACCCAGAGTATTTTATCCTAGCAACAGGAAAATAAACTGGAACAGCACTCATGGAGAAACCCAGGTAGGGAAGAAAGCGGCCTCTTGTCCACAGCTGAGTGAGTGGATCACCATAGACACAAATGGTCTGACCAACGGCTTCCACAGCTTTGTGAGAGACCCTCAGTGCGCTGTGGACAAAGGCATGTTCACCAAGCCTGGCCTCAGGATGACACTCAAATATTTATACAGTAAAGACACCATCGATATCTACCTGTTCTGAACCAGCAAGGTTACCAAATTCAGAAAATCGCTTAATAGAAAAAACAGAGCCCTTGAATAATCCTTAAGTTTGTCTTTGGGTAACAGGGCCCCGTGCCTGGCAGCACTTCCCCTGAGTGATCGCAGAAGTGTGAGAGCCGTACCTTGCAGAAGTCTGCCTCCTCGGTAGAGGTGAAGGGCTAGCGCTGCTTCCAAGTTCTTGGCTGTGATGAGGTTGGCAATTTCAGATGGGCTCTCAAAGTCAAAGGCATCTCTGAGAACACACATGTGGCCTGCAGCTTCCAGGTGGTCCCTTTATTAAAAAAAAAAAAAAAAAAAGACAGGTTGGAGTGGCCATTTTTGGCTAAGGCTTTACATCAGTTCCACTCACAAAATTTACTGTGCTGCTCCTTGGAGGCAGTCTACACTGAAACACAGATGGAGGCTTGAAGGTGACAGTAGCTACCCACTCGACAGCCTACAGGACCTGGGATCCGGCTGAAAATCAAGGCCAATGCAACCGAAGCTGTGACACACACAGAACCTCTCAGCACATTCCTCAGCATTGGTCTACCTCAAGGCTCTGCTGGCACTTCTCTGCTCCCACTGTTTCCTTTGTTCACGGTCCTGGGGTGCTTCTAGCTGCTGTCGCTCATTTCTTTTAAATCTCTTTCATTTTTAGGCTTAGGAGTGTTTTGCCTATATGTGTGTCTGTGCACTACGTACAATGCCTGGTGCCTGCAGAAGTCAGGTGTCAGATCTGCCAATACTGGGGCTCCAGATGATGGCGAGCTGCCATGGGGGTGCTGGGAACCAAACCCAGGCCCTCTGTAAGAGCCGCCAGTGCCCCTAACCACCAAGCCATCTCTCTAGCCTGACACTCACTTTCTTGCTTTTCTTTTTTGGGGGGAGGGGGCAGGGTTTCTCTGTGTAGCCTTGGCTCTCCTGGACTCTCTTTATAAACCAGGCTGGCCTCGAAGTCACAGAGATGGCCTGCCCCTGCCTGGCAAAGTGCCGGAATTACAGGTGTGCACCACCAGGCTCGGCTTGTCACTCATTTCTTTAAGAACAGTTTCTAGGGACAGGCAAACTGGCTCCATGGTGTAAAGGCACTTGGTGCCAACCCTAACCAACTGAATTTGATTCTACTGGGATCCGCATGATGGAGGGAGAGAACCAACTGTCCCCCCAAGTTGTCCTCTTACCTCCACATGTATGCCATGACGTACGGCATGTGAAGTCACCCCCATGCCATCTCCTGCTCCACAATAAATTAGCAAATGTAATTTAAAAAGTTTTAAAGACTGTCTCCCAGTATGTGCCTCTACCTTGAATCTCCAGAACTAAGAACTCAATAACCCTCGTTTTCTTTGTAAAGTTCCGCAGCCTCGGGTATTTTGTTACCGTAAGCAAGACTAGACTAGCATGGGTCACCTGGTAAACAAAGTACCTTGGGAAGAAGCGCAAGACCGAGTACTCAGTACCATGCTCACTTAGGGGCTTAGAATGGACTCAGCTCTCACACTAACATGTGACTGATGACATCTCTCTGTACAAGGTAAAGACACATATTACATAACACGCTAATGGTCCTGTGCAAGTTGAGGAAAACCTGGAGCTGCAGAGGTAGCTCAGAGGTCAGAACAATGGCTGATCCTGCAATCCTGCAGAGGACCTGGGGGCTCAATTCCCAAGATCTACCTATGGCTTACAACCATCTGTAACTCCAGTTCCAGGGGAATCCGACTGGCCACTGTGGGAACGGCTCACATACTGTGTGTGTGTGTGTGTGTGTGTGTGTGTGTGTGTGTGTGTGTGTGT